GAGGCCCGAGGCCTTGAGAAGGCATAGTCGGCCGAGTGGCTTTTAGCTCTCTTAATTGCAACTTCATTTAACGCACCGTTCGGCCAATCCAAACCTCGCATGCCGAGAATAGCGCGTCTTAATAAGCATCTTATCGCGTACGCGAAGAAGAAACGCCTGAGAAGGGAACGGACGAACCGTGGAAGGTGGAAAAGTACGAAGCGAAAATATGAAGCACGAAGAAAAGTACATTGTCTTCCTTCAAGATGAATTGACGCAATTCGCGCTGCAAGTAGGATATCATTTTTCCTTAGAATTTTATCCTTTTTTTTCCTATCTTATGTATTTGTCGAATGCCACGTTTTATTCCACAATTTAGTAAGAAAAATGCTGCTTCAACCGTTACTGTAACACTGTATTCATCTGAGACACGTATAATCTTAAGAGATTATTGCCTGTTTTTACCAATAAAAATTAACTTTAATCTCAGCTTAATTTACTTTTCATTTTTTTTTTTTAATTCTTAGAACTAGAAATGAAGAGTTACTTGAACCGAGATTAAAATTAAACATTAAACGGGCATTAATTACTGCTTTAATCGTAACTATCTAAAGAAAGGATTGCACAAACGTTATGAACGTTTGTTTTGGAAACGCGGAAAAACGATACCGACATCGATAAGAAGTTTACGAATATCCTATTAACACTTGGTCGTTTATCTGGATTGCACTTATCTCGCGATATCCACGTTAATGACATCAAGCAACGATAATAAAATTCTCAATAGAGTCATTGATAAACGCTACGATAATAAATCCACGTGCATTCCGTTTATTCGCGAATGTTTTAAAAGTAGCATTTTCCTTGAAAATGAGTGGAAATTCATTAATAATTAAATTTGTATTTGATCCAACAGTTTGTCCGTCATTAACAGGAATAATTTAACTTTGCGAATATCATTCATTTCGTGGTTTATTCCATATTTTTTCCCATATCGATTGATGATATCAATGCGTATCAGATGCGCTCTACATCGCGTGCGATAATATCACAGATTACAAAATCATTTATTATCTCATTAATTAATTGCAATAATCTTGTAACCTACTTTTACCTCGCTACCGATTACTTAGCAATTGAAAATATTTTTGAAAAATATTAATTAAAAATATTAATCAATAATAATTGACAAATTAAATTCTATAATAAATTGAAAAATATTGTAATTGGCGAGACATTCAGTCTACTGACATGACATTCGAATGTAAACAATTATTTTGATGATTATAAAAAGGAGAGAGTTTTAATTAAACAATACTGTTTGAAAGAATTCTTTCCTATCGAAATGTACGTGCAACATTTGACGCGTTCGCAATATTTTCCTTCTTCAATTGGCAAACGCAAAAGGATATTAATTATTCATAATTGTCTGGCACAGAGATACTCTTTTCGCTCATCTTTTTCTCATGGACGCGGAACATGGTAATTGCACGTCGGGTTGGATATCTCTGCAAAGCGGCTTCAGCAAATTTAAGGAGAGTAACGATGGAATGTATTCAGAGGCATAAATAATTATCGTTAAATGTTTGCGGTCGCACGTTAAATGATTTGGCCATAAATTTCCGTTGCGAATTAGGTTCTCGATGTATAGTTTAGCGGAACGGTTGACATAGTCAAATTTATTCGCGCAGACGGTAGTGCGAATGACTCCGTAGCAAGCTATCGCTAATTAACGTGAGGAAACTCATTTGCGATTTATGTTAAACACCTTCAAGCATTAAAACTTATCAGCTGCAACATCGGTTTTACTAAAAAAAAATTAGCTTTTTATTTTCTTTGAATATATATATATATATATAATATATGCTTTACGCCTCATTTAAGAGATAATTTCATAAATTTAAAAATCTTTTATTACTTAAAAAAAAAAATTTTTTGCTTCAGACGAGATAATATATATATATATCAGAAGGATAAAGACACAATTATATAATTATCCCTGGTTATTTATTCTGCCAGTAGTCTTGCTCGCTGATGATCGCTCGAAATGAAGCCGAAACGTTTAAATTCTAGAATAATTTCAAGAAGAAAAGAATTAATTAATATTACCGCGCGCTTGATTCTCATTGCCCGTTTATTTTTAATTTACAATTATATAATTACATGAATTATGTAAGGAGATAAAATAGAGAGAATTCCTAAGAGATAATAATCCAGAATAATAATGAAGATAAAAGTAGAAAGATATGTAATAAGGGATAAACATTTGAGTCACAAAATGCTACTTCTTTATTTTCAGTCAAGAAGAATTTGAATAAGAAAAATTAAGCAAATTTTTTCATAATGATGTTCGATTTGGGTAAACGAAATTTTCACGCGTAACATAGAAAAAGGAGTACTTGCATCAGCTGCTGCTTACCAAAAAGAAACTTTCTCGCGGCGCGATTATTGTCGTGTCCAGAAAAGAGTAACGCGCGCGAGCAAAAAGTCGCGGGAACACGGAATTTCGACTGGTTCACCTTTCGGGGCTCCGAGATGGTGATTTCGTTGTTATATTCGCGGTATATAATCGCGTCGATGCACACTCTGTGCAGCTCGTGGACTACGTAAGAACGCGCCGTGCGAGCTCTCGTCCGCGAGATAATGGCAAGATGAATGCGAAATGGCGAACGCGGAGGCACCTTTCGATACGCGACCTTGACAAGAGATCGCTTTTTCTCTCTGATTCGTCATTCCACGCTATTGATGATCACACTGGATGCTGCGAGAGGAGTGGCCCGTCGTTTCTTTTTTTTTTTTTCTTCCTCTTCTCCTTTTTGTCTTTTTCTTTTGAAATGGTTACACAACAATCGTCCATATAGCGACCATGGTGCGCCGCTGAACTTGAATTATTATATGCTCAGAAGAAGTTTTCCTGTCTTCCCGCATCTCCTACGTCTCTCGCAAGAGAGTTTACAGCTACCTATTACGACGTACAATCTATTAACGTATTTTATTTGCTGCAGGGACGGTTTCATTCGTTTCCTGTTTTTCCTGCTTTCATATTATCCTATTTGTTCTGCTTCCGAGACAATTTTCAAATAATCGCAACGGCGGGGTCGAAATGCAGTCGAGTATTTTCAAAATTTCCGTACGTATGAATCATCAGCGATAAAAGCGTCGATATAGCATGTTTGTTCGCCAAACATGTATTTGGCGTAAACACATTTATTAGTAAAGTGCCTTTAAAAAAATACACATAAAGTAGAAATAAACAAATATTAATAAAAAAATTTTTCGCGACTCTACCAATGTAATTGAATAATTCTTGCGTCTTTTCATCGAATTGCGCAACTGGAAAGATTCTCTACGATTACGCTCATTATATTTCACTGACGGTAAAAAGTTTCTCCATGAGATATTAAAAATAAAATAAACATATATATATATATTTAATTAAACAATAAAGATAGCTGTTGGTGTGATAAGCAATAAAAATTCACGCTTCGTCGGCTTGGTGTAGTTACTGTTTGATGAGTTTAGTTACATTATATATTACACACACATATATATATATATATATATATATATATATATTCCTATGCGTTATATAATTTAGCGTAGTCTCTCAAACGGAAACTGGAACAGTTTTTTAGGCGGCTATAACTATGTCATTTGCGTTTCGTGGTTCCGCTGATCATATTTTCCCATTGTCAGCGCTGTTCGCTGCGATCTATCTACCTGTCTCTCGTTACACGTTAGGCCTGGCCATCGTTTTTACTACCAATTATATTGCCGCATTAATTTGCACCGCCTCTTGCATCCAATCGCATGGAATGTCAGTTAACAACCGCGACAATTGCCTCATTATCGCTAGCAGTTTCACCGTTTCATTTAGGTACAAAATGACATAAGCCTTGACGATAAGTGAAATAATTAGGTGGTACCACGCTGCGTCACATAATGTACCAACGAAAATCCATATCAATAAATAACGAAAAATGCAAGGAGATACTGAAGAATCGTCGCGTTCTTGCGCGATCATCGTCACAGATCAATACCTGTATCTTTTCACTTTATCGTATCATATCCGTAAAAGTGACTGCAAACATTTTCCAACACTTATGTCAACATTACATCATCGATCATCCTTAACCCTCGCTTGAACGCGCCGAACTAGCACCGCAAGAGAACAACTCCATCGAAATACGGAGTGATATAGAAAGATCGAATGGAAGTAATTTTAATTCGCTATATCGTAACGCGATTTATTCTTCATTATACACCTCCCTTTCTGCCTCATTTTATTAATCTCCGTACTGATGTACTATTGAAATATTATGCATCAGCAATTGTACAGAATCGTTGGATCGGAATTGTTTTGTTTGCGTAAACAATTTTGGAGTAATGTGTCTCTGTAGAGTTCCACATACCAGGACGACATATTCACTGTCGTTCACTGAACGGTGGTAAAATTAACACACTTATTCTTTGCCAATTATAGTCAGCAAGTCATAACTGGCGTGAAAAACAAACTTATAGGCTTTTTATCTGCGCTTATCGGCAAGCATTTATAGCACCTGTCGATTATTCACGCCAGGTTCGGGCCGCCAGCATAAACGTAGAATATATCACTGAGAAACAAACGTGTCATGTACGTTGCATGTGGCAATGAACGAGTTGATCCTTAAATCACCTTTTGCAGCAGACTACTGATTTACCGGGTGCGATTAAGACGATCGGTAGCGATCGCGTAATTAATTTAGCAATCGACGAAAGAGATGCGTCAATCATTTCGGTCTCCGCGAGAACAGAGATTTCCGGAGCGTGAAGAAAGAGCGTAACATAATCGAATCGAAATGACTTTTAAATTACTCTCTAAAAAGTAAGTTCGGAGTAAATTTCACGCTGAAGAGTATCATCTCATTTTTAAAGATCGAAAATGGAGTCACTCCATTTCAAGACTGGCTCAATTTTTACTCTTTAGGGTGAGATTCCATTTCAAAGAATTGCGAGAGGACAGTCGTATTCATTTTTCTCACCTTGTGCTTTTTCTACTACTGCACTCGCTGCCTAACGTGCGATCGGTATCCAGGATGAGCAACCAGACGTAGTATGTATCCCACGGGATTATCTCGTCGAGTCACGTGAAAAACATTCTCTTTGCGAGCCGGCGACGACCAGCCGAGATCCCGTGACATCGGCGACGTGGACGACGCTGCGAGCACGTGACGTACATTGATATTTCGCGATATGGATCACAATCACTAGACACGAGAGAAACAGATCAGTATAGTGGTTAACGTCGAACGAAAGAAACGTGCACGAAACGAGAGGCACGCTCGAGATAATACCCGGCACTTTGTATAATCACTTTACACTCGTGGACGCGTTCCTCGCGCAACTGCACATGGTCTCGACGGAAAGGAACGAAAATCGGCGGCGATCGATCGGAAACAGGAAGATGCACTGATGTGTCTTGGAGGACGTCGTCGTTGATTGTTCGCAATCAGCCGTTTTTCACGATCCTCCTCGTCATCGCGTTTCGTCTCGCTACTTTTCTGTTCGCGCTCGCCTGCGCGATGTCACACACGTGGTTTTGTGCTCGCAGTGCACGCACGCACGCATGCACGCACACTGCGTACAATCCGCTTCCTCGATTCAGATCGTCTAAACTCGACTCGCGGAAATTCGCCGTGGAGAGAGAGATTCGTCAGCCCGGAACGGAACGATCCTTGACGACGATCTTCGACGTCCGCGACGATGTCGGTAAAGGGCGACGACGACGATGACGATGATGACGGAGAACTTTTTTTTTTTTTCTCTCCAACGGGGTCTGCTCCGTTGACTGCCCAGGGTCAACCGGCTGGCTCTGCGCGCGGCACTTTTACCCGTTGGGTACTCTCAAGGACTCGGAGGTGGCTCCTATTCCTTTCTCTTATCCTTTCGCGCGCGCGCCTTTTTTATCCCGCTAACCTTTTTAAACGCACTTTTAATTCCGCTCGGCCGCGTGTCCCCAGCGAACGCCGCCGCAGAGCGATTTCCCGTGTTCAGAGTACGCTGCTCTTTCGTCGCGGATTATCAAATTTCTCGCGTCTCCTTCGTAAATTCAACGTCGTCGTCGTGCGGCGCGACGCACCGTGACGATCGGCAGAAGAGCGGCGGGAGAACGGAAAACGAGTAGATCTCGCCACATCCGGATCGTCTTTCAGATTCGTCCTTCGCTATCGCGGTCTGTCCTCCGCCTCTTTCTTCTCGTTCCGCGAGAGCGAGCCTTCTCTCGGCTCGCTCGTCGACGTCGACTTCCTTGTCCTCGTCGTCGAACCACGCGACGGTCGCGAGGATTCTTGTCCTCCGCGCGGCGGCGAGAAATCCGCGTCCTCCTCCTGCGGTTTTCGCGCACACGGTTGTCGTATCGCGGTCTGTTCCTCTCCTCTTCTCCTCCTCCTCCTCCTCCTGCTTCTCCTCCTTTTCTCCCTCTCCGTCTCGAACTGTCTCTCTCTCTTTCTTCGCTGTCCTTTTCCCTTCCGCGTCTCCCTTTCCGTCTGTCTGTCTCCTTTCTCTTCTGCGTGTTGTAATCCCTTTTGCGAAACTTCTTGCGCCCGGACGAGGCGGCGAGGTAAAAGCGAGCGCGCTGTCGATCGTGAACTGAGGGAGAGAGAGAGAGAGAGACAGGTTAAATTCGCACGCGAATACCGCACGTCGAGTCCTTCCACGGTGGTGGTGCGCTACCGGGATGCCACTTGATGATAATGATGATGATAATGATAATGTTGGCGACGTTGACGATGACGATGACGATGACGATGAAGACCACTCTCTAGCAACTCCGGAAATGAATTACCGGTGGGATACCAACGACTGTGACCTTGAACATTCGCATTTCGCGCTGGACGGAGTGAAACGCGCGCGAGACCGATCACTTTCCATCGTTCTTTTTCGTTATCAGCGCCGAGTCGCTCGCGACCGAAGCTCAATCATTCGCGTTTTCGCGATCCTGGGTCCAATTATCCGATGGTGAAAAACTCGTGATTACCTCTGCACGGGATGCTGATACACCTCCGCAAACGCGAGCGTGCGAACGAAATACCACGCGCGAGTGTATTTCGCGAAGTAGCGGGCTAGAAAACGTTGTTACGCAACGAACGGAGCACCGTTCCTCTTCTCTTCTCTCTCCTTGTTCTTTTCCTAGCACGCCCTCTTCGACTTCTCCGGAACACGTAGATCCTCCGCATCGGCGAAACTTCTTGTCAAGGGCGCCGGAGGGCAATCCGCGATCATGCGAATCTGGATGCACGCACGAATACACACTCTCACTGTTTTCGTATATCTCTCTTTCTCTATCTCTCTCTCTCTCTCTCTCCTTCTCCCTCTCA